GGGGGGGTGATTACAGGGATGGACTTTTATTGAACTGTTTTATTTATTTCTTATCTTATCTTTTATTTTCTTGTGATTTCACTATCTCAGGCAATTAGGTTTCTTCTTCCTCGGTTTTACTATTTAAGCTCAACTTATAGCTTTGTTGTCTTAGGTCAGCATTTCATCCAGGATCTGCAAATATCTAGCCTTTTTCTCCCATATTGTTCAAGACTGCTTCCTGTTTGCCATCACTATGTACATCATTATCATGTCTATAATCCATTATGCTCAGCAGAAGAATAGAGAATACGACGCCAGTAAATACCTCAGGATGTCGAGCATCAACAGCATTAAGGACATCCTCCAAGACCTCCAGTGCACTGCCAGCTTTCTCAAGAATACTGTTTAAAATTAAACTTGTTTTAAGGCAAGGAAAACTAGGGTAGTAACCACAAGAGAGTCTCAAAAATGATACTAAGAACGATCAACTTCTTTTTCTTCTATGACTAAAAAGGTACACATGGATACCAAGTCAACTATATGAAGAAACGATGATACCTGTATTCAGAAACTTTCTGCGGCTGTGTCTGTGGTACACTTCTTGCACGTTGAGTATTAGCAAATTCCTTATCAAGTAAATTATTCTCAATGGTGTTTGATGTAACATGAGGTTTTGGGATATCACGAGGCCTCTGAGGAAATTGTACTCCTGCACTCTGAGAACATAGTATCCAAGGTTAACCTAGACTATTTCCACTACAATATATGCAAAACATCACAGTTATACCCCAGCAGAGGCAACAGAAAAACATATTACACAATAAACTAAGTAATCCTAATTACAATTGAAAAAAAAAAAAAAANACAATTTAAAAAAAAAAAAAAATCCCGTGCAGGGAATGTAAGATTGGTATACATCTCCAAGGAAGGCATACTTTTTCTTACAGGAAATTCCATCCTTCTAATAAATGGGGTCCGTCCAACTTCATTGGCTCTATATGAAGTTAAAAGCATAATACATCATCAATAGAATACGACCACCATAAATTTACAAGATATACCACACAGCCAATGCTGCTTTTATTACCTCGTTTGGAAGTTTTCACTTTCATCTTCCCCAGACCCGAAAATCCAAAAATGATAGTTATATTTATTTGGAAATGGATTTAAAGATTTACTTTTACTAGATTTGTCGATAATCAGTCAATGTGGCGAAAAAGGATTGACATAGCCTGCCCCAAATTTATTGGAAATAAGATTCATTTGCTATTGTTGTTATTTAGAGACGTAAGGCTTGTTTGGCACGACTTTTGAAAAGTTGATGCTTTTTTTGAGATTAAGAAGTTGCTTTTGGTCTTATAAGATAATTTTCTTTAGTGCTTTGTCTTTTTAGGTGAACTTTTAGAAAAAGTCCACCAAAGGTGCCTTCCTCATGAAGCTCTTATTCAAAAAATAAAAGCAGAAACTATCCGAACATATCCATAATCTTACATATTATTATAAATTTTATATTCCTAGGGAAGAAAATATTTAAAATAAGGTTTTCTGGTAATTAGTGGAAGGCATGGAACCAACAAATATAAAAATCACTTCTCTTATTGGTAAGCATTACATAAACAACTAATATTAAAATAATTTGTTTACACTTTTGAAACCAAAAAATTCTGAGGTATAACTTGTACTTGATTTACATACTTGTCATTTTTCTTTTCTGGTACACTCGACAAATATCAAAATACTTCCAAAAAATTGTCATGTGTTAAAAATTTTGAGTAGACCCATATTATTATGAACTTGACATGGTCAAGATTCTCCATCTTCTTATTGAATGCTAAATCAGTACAAATAATCCAATCAAAGTACAGATGATGAGGATAGACAAGGATTAAAACATAACATCCCCATGGTTTAAAATTATAAAGCTTCAGAGAGTAATGGAATACGAAGATATACTAGACAATAAAAAAATAAATACACCAAAGCACAATTTTAGATTCCATCACAACTTCGAGGTTAAGTTCTTACTCAAGTGTTGTTCATGTTGACTTTGTTGCACTGAAAATATTCTTGAATCAAGTATAGAAGTAATCAGTTTCCCTAAATTGTGTCTTCAATGGCAATGTGGAAAACTAAATGCAATAATAAAAATAAATAAATAAATCTTGAAGATCTACATTCATTTCAGAGTGAACTAGAGAAGGAGAGGTGTTACAGTTACATGCTCAACTAGTATTTTATTGATATGAACTTTCATTCTAGATTGGTGAAAAGTTGATAAATCACACATTTAACGTATTCACTACCTACCACCAATTCATAATATGCAGAATAATATTGAGGGAACCTCCCAGAAGCTCCGCCTACAGATGTCTGAGCTGCATCTAAAAGAAGAAAAATCTTTTCCCGAACAGGAAGGTCTGACTGTAAAAAGGAGACAAATTATTTCTCACCTCAATCAAATCAGCTTATGAATGAGAATCAAAAATAGAGAAGCATCAACCTTTTTCTTAACTATTTTCACAAGTATGGGAAGAATTCCTGTTTCTGTAACCTGCTTATGAACAGGTTCTCCAATATTGTTCATCAACATCTCCAGCAACTGTATGATTTGAGCAACAGAACGAACAAGAAGTTGGGTTATTGATTCTTCCAGCAAGTCTAGGGACATAAACATATCGTGCAATGCCGACAACAGGAACATAAATTGACCAGGGCAAAAATATTTTGAACCCTAGAAGTACTCACCATTACTGCAAATAGTTTTGTGTTTGAGTGTTTGCTTCCCAAGCGTTTTTTAATAGCTTTTATGACATCTTTCGCTTGTCTGTATTAATAAAACAACCCAAAATTGGTAAAATAATAGTGATGATAACATCAAGGTGAAAAATAAAGGTTAAATCACACACAACAGCCATGTTTTAAAAAATCAGCTCAAAACTACAACTAATATTCTCTCTATTTTTACCAATTTCCAAGAAACTTATCTACTGTTATAAATAACAAAGTAAAAGAAAAAGCTTCAGATTTGAAATTTACCTCCTACATCCAGACTGTAGAAGAAACAATTATCAGCCAGTAATTAAAAGCAAAATGAAAATTTGTAAATTGGATAAAACAAGAAAAATACTTTATAAAAACCTTCTGACAATATATTAAACAACTAACAGAATTGAAGCCCTATCAACAGTGGAAAGTATAAAATAACAATCATATAGCACAACACATCAATAATGGCTGCATCTTGACATAGTATGAAGTAAGGATGGAATCTTACCTGTGATCACGTGCAACTAATTCACAAATCTCAATGTTTTTCATCCAGTCCATTTCACTAAGTTTATCACTTGTTGCAGAATTAACAAGTTCAGATGCCATATTTACCATCTCTGCTGTAAGAAGAACAAGTTAACCGAGTGTAAATACATTATTCTAACTTACCTAAAAGAATGGCATCAACATGTTTCAATTGAAAACCTGTACAGCTATACCTTGTATATAAGCAGTGAATTTTGACGTTATCAACTAGTAAGATTTGTCTCACGTGTGCGCGTTAGAACCATCACCGACATTTGACAAAAAGTACAAAACTAACGACGTAAGGCTGCAAAGCTACAGCTTGAAGGTACTAAACTCCAAGAGGTCACTATTGTTGTGTGATTGAATGAGGTGGAAAGGACTCAACGGCTTATAGTAAGATATCAGACATTCATTCGAACAGAAAGCATTTAGTAAGTGAGCCGTTTCTTCTGCCTCTCAACACGCGGTATATCACTGCAACAAATTCGTGTGATATACTAAACTTCTTCTTGTTGAGACAATTTTTGGTCATCAACTGCATGACCTTAAGCAAAATTTGTCCCCACAACATACAAAATGCAAGCAGACAAAGGGAAAGCATAGGCATACAAACACACTATTCACATTTCGATATGATTATATATTTCAAGTACGTGCTTTAGAGATGGAATAACAATCTTACATTGATAAGATCACATTTTTCAACTGTTTATTCTAATCTTCAAACACCAGGGCATAGTGAAATCAAATTTCATCATTTCCATTACTAACTTTCAAGGGGACAAAAATATTTAAAAAATGGAAAAAAAAATAATAAATAAGACGAAGATAACAAACTATAGCAAAATACACAAAAATCACAAAATAGTAGCTTATACACCATGTATAAAAATCATTTAACAACCCATTATGCTTTCCATGTTCTCAAGAAACTACAAAATTGATGAATTTAATAATTCGTAATTCAATTTATTTTATCCCTCATTTTTTTCATTTTCAAATCATTTACAGAAATGAAATGGGGATTACTCGTATTAGCTCCTCCATTCTTCGCTTTCACTTCACTCACCACAAAAACCAAAAGATTAATAATTAAAAAAAATCTCTCGTCTTTTCGTTTTACAGAAACATTCCAACTTTAGTTCAGATCTCAAGCAAGCATTTAAGAGAGGGGATACAAANTCAGATCTCAAGCAAGCATTTAAGAGAGGGGATACAAAACTGAAATTGATCTCAATAAAAATGTGAATTCTTTTATTCGTCACAAAAATCCTTGTAAAAAAATTAATTCATCCTAAATTAAATTAAAAAATTCACAGGAGGAGCAAACTAAGATGATAAATCCGTACCTGGAGAGTCAGCAAAGTGTAAAACGGCTGCTTCAATGGTTCAATATATTTGTATGTATTGTTGTAATCATATGATGCACATGATTACAACTGTGCTATGTATAAATATATACATACATATGTATATATATGGTATGTATGATAAAGAGAACAAATAAATTGAGAATCTCTTGTTATTACTTTACCAATTTACCGTATTTACGTTCTTTCGAGAATTATACATTGAAGAGCAATCGAGAATCTTATTTCATCTCTCTCTCTCTCTCTCTCTCTCTCTCTATATATATATATATATAAGTGTATATATACATTATATATA